CTTTACATTTCTGTAGAACGTTTGCTTTGGTAACCCCTGACATTTCCACCAAGGACACTTCTGCAAAATTAGCACAGCATGAATTAAAAGGATTAAATGTTGACTAATTGGTCTCAAAATGTCCTTTTAATGTGTCATCTCCAGGCAGGACGTATTTACCTAAAGGTTTAAGCATGGATTAGGCTTTAGCAATTTAAAACTTTTAACAGAGACCTAAAAGAGGGTGTAACATCATCACTGCTCAAGTTTTTGGGTAGCATACAAACTGGGAGAATGGTAAGTCCTGAAGACAGGTCACTACCACTGAGCAATCTCTGAGTAAGCTAAGTATCATGACCAAGTGCAAGAAATATGACCTTGATCAATTGCTGTGAGGAAACACAAAACTTACAGGAAAACTGGGGAGAGAGTAGTTACCGTTGATATCTTATCAAAATAAAGAGATGATCAAGTGAAATTCAGCTGTCACCATGAGAAATAATCGCACAAGCACAGCGTGAAGGACAACCCCCAAGGAAGCAAATCTGCAGGAAAGCATCTGTAAGCTGCTGGGGAAGCTGCAGGCAGGCTTAATCAGACGAAGCCCTGCGCCTTTCCATCTATGCTGTTGGTTAATAACCCCACTGTGGTTCAGGCTCATAGGCTTTATACTGTGCTTAAGGAAAAGTCTAGCTTGGGACACTGTCCTGGTTTCAGCTGGGATAGAGTTAATTTTCTTCATAGTAGCTAGCATAGTGCTGCGGTTTGGATTTAGTACCAGAAGAATGTTGATAACACACTGATGTTTTCAGCTGTTGCTAAGTAGTGCTCAGACTACTCAAGGACTTTTTGAGCTTCTTCTGCTCGTCCAGGTGCATAACAAGCTGGGAAGTACAGCACAGCTAGGACAGCTAACCCAAACTGACCAAAGGGCTATTCCATACCATATAATGTCATGCTCGGGGGGGTTAGTTGGTTCGGGTCGGTCGGTTGGTTGGTCGCGGGCAGAGTGGTCGCAGCTCGGGCTGGCTGGGGACCACTACTCAGGGACAGGCCAGGGATCAGTCAGCAGGTGGTGAGCAATTGCATTGTGCATCACTTGTTTTGGATATTCTTTTATCATCATTACCATCATCATCATCATTATTATTATTCTCTTCCTCTGCTGTTCTATGAAACTGTCTTTATCTCAACCCATGGGTTTTACTTCCCTCCCCCCTGATTCTCTCCCCCACCCCACGGGGGGAGGGGGGGGGAGTGAGCGAGCGGCTGCGTGGTGCTTAGCTGCCAGCCGGGTTAAACCACGACTGGTTGTGTGGGTGTCCCAGCAGGAAACCAGGCTGCAGCACGCTTAGCCTAGTGCGGTTTTACAGGAGACCACCCTCAAACCCCACTTTCCCTCCTTCTTTAGATACCCATGGGAATGAGCATCCAGCAGAAGCCTGACATCTAAGCCTCATTCGCATCTGAGCTACATGGATGGGGAGTGAACTGAGCAGGACCATAGGTTCAAGCACGTGTTTGATAGGACAGGCATGCGGTCAGTATGCGATGGCTGGGAGTATAAAAACCAGGGAAACAAACCACCTCTGCAATTAGCACCTTTGCAGTAGCTTTTCTTGGTCCAGTGCTGCTGTTCATAATTTAAGGTGGTTATTAGGTAACTATGGAAAACCTTGGGAAGAGCAGGAAATAGGACAACGTGGTGGGAAAGAAGGACTCCAAATGATTTATCTGTTTAAGAAAGTTACATTCCAGGACATCTGCCGTGAAGGGAATGCACCTTTAACAGAAGACTTACTAAAGATAAGGTCCAGTGGCTAGAAGCTGGAGCAAACCAAACTGATTACGTACACTGAAAACATTTTTACAACAGGTAATAATTATTGGAATAATTTGCCAAGAGTGGCAGTGGGATTTCCCAGAAGTTGCAACCTCTTGTTGTTCCTAAGAGGAGTTCTGCTTCAAACACAAATTAACTAAGGGAAGTCCTACAGCTTCTGTTACCCAAGAGGTCAAGCGAGGTGGTCATAATAGTCTTTTCTGACCTTGTGTAACCTATAAATAGATTAGAGTCCCAGGGGGAAAAAAAAAGTATCCTTATCTCAGGCTTTCCCAAAACACTGTGGAAAAAACAATAGGAATGCAGAAAGATCAGAAATAGCCAACAGTTGTGCCTAGTTTGGTATTTCTACTGAAGAGACCAAAACATTTTGTGACCTTATTCCAGAGCGTCTCTTTAAGCTTTTCCTTCTTGCTGTCAAGAGCTCAGCCGTACCCAATGCACCCATTTTCAGAGCTGTTAACTAGTCAAAGTTTGATAATTATAACAAAGGTTGGGTCTGTAGTTGGTGGGAGTTTTGCCATTCTCATGTAATGGGTGGATCAAACCAGAGTATCTTTGCAATTTAAGGACACACCTCAAATTCTCCAGCCGATGCGAAGTGAAACTCGGGGGAATTATGCCACACACACACAACTGCTGAGTCTGGCTGAAAGAACAGAGGTTTCTCATATACCGTTGTCAAATACTGTTATATTTAGGCAACATTTGAAACGAATTCTACCTACACGAAGTCATTAAATAGCCACAGCACAAATGCCATACCAGCCACAGACACAAATGTATCCTATGCAACTGTGCTGCCTTTATTGTTTTCTTTTGTTAAAAGAGAGTACTTCACACAGCATGTATCCTCCTGCAATTTTTTTTTTGGTTAAAAGAAAATAAAAAGTCCTGTCTTTGAGTTTCTAGGAGCATTCTGCATGTATGAAGCAAGGGACGCAGGAGCACCAATTTGTTTGACTGTTGACTTCAAAAATACAGCAAAATAGCATTTATATTGTATCAGTCCCCTCTCCTTTACTTACTCCCCGAGATCATTTTGATGATAACTCAGGTCAGTGAGACCTTCCAAGTACATAAAAAATACTTTTAATTGAACAAAACAATGAGAAACACCTAAATAGCCTGAGCCTTATGCTCAGAGCAGAACTAGATTCACAAATGCGCTGCGACTGTTCCAGCAGTGCCAGCCCCTTTTACCTTGAACTTGCTGTCCATCGTTGCTGTGAGCACAGCAGAACAGGGTTTAATGCACTCTTTCGTCAGTGGGAATTTGAAGTCAGGACAATTCACTGTCCAGTGGGAAAGCAGGAGCCCTGGGATCCCACCTGGCCTTTGGTTAGGAGCAGGGATACGAAGCAGGGTGGTTTCTATCAGGTCTGCCCCTCAGGAGTGTGGGCTAACTAGCAGGCTGTGGGCTTCTCTGGAACTGAGGTTTCCTCACTCACTCCTGAAGTTTTTGTGGTTTGGTGGGGTTTTTTTTAATATTTTACTAACATGTTAATTCTAAACCACAAAGAAAAATGACTCTCAAGGCTGCTGGCCAGGACAGCTACCTGGGAGGTATGACGCTTGGGCCTCTGCTTCACAAAGTATTTAGGTATTTCCTTAAAACAAAGATGAATGTTGCCAACAGGGATGCCCGGAACATCCTGTTGGCAGGAGTACTTGCAGCTCATTCTTGGGAGAACAAAACGATAGTTGAAGTCTTCCCAGCAGAAGATGACCTGGAACTAGAGGGTCTTGCATTTCACGTGAATGCCTGAAGCACTGAGAATTAGGATGAAATAGGAACCGCTAGAATAGGAGAAGCAACATGATTGTCAGACTTGCGAATCTAGCTCAGAAAAAAACCCAACAAACCACTGGACAGGGGGTTCCTCCCAAAGAAAACAAGAAACATATCAAATCCACAAGTAATTTTGAATCAGCCATTCCTGACATTTTGGTGTGTATTTTGAAAGAACTTCCCAGTTGCAAGTGAGAGCCTCCTAGGCCTGAGGAAGCAGGAACTTCTACAGTTGGCAACAGGCTCCTGCTGTCTCCCACTACCGTCCTCATTAATTCGGTGAAAATACTTCCACTAATTTCACAAGAAGCACAGCGTGGCCCTTTGGACAAATGGTGAAAGTCCTGTTAGAAGAACTGAGCATCGAAGAGTTTAGCTAATCAGTATGTAGCCAGTAGTGATTATTAAAGATACACTTCTGGAGAGTTCCACATACACATACATACATATCCTTCAGAGAAAAAAAAAAAGTTTGCACTTCAGAAATATGATTCAGAGTAGATCCATGTTTCTATAGACTGAATATGATTTTCCTGAAAACAAAGGCAAAGGAGAAATGGAAAAGATGCACAGATGCCTGAGCAGCATTCTTTTCCTGTCAGAGGTCTAAACACGCCCGTGGTTTGAAATGAAAACTGCTCCGTAAAAAAATGGGCACTTTTTGAGCAGACCTCTGTTGTTACAAACCTCTGTTCAAAGGACTGTGTAATTGGGCAGCCCTGGCAAAATGAGATAATGTTCATGTATTGTAATGCACATATTCCAGGAACAATCAAAACATGAAAGGTTCATACAGGCACCCTCTGTATTAAACTGGAATGATCTGTGAGAACAGCAATTCCTATTCTCTTCCTCTCTCCTAGAAGCCTGCTTCAATACAGTCAATACATTTTTTTGCTGGTAGTGCCAGTGGAAACAGGACTGGGCAATGACAGTTCAGTGTGACATCCTACCGTGACACCACACACCCGCGAACACGTCGCTCTGTCTGCTTGCCCAACAGCTGGCTCTCAGCGTGGCAGCAGATATGTGATTTCTGTTGTCTTTCAGCTGGGAAAACACATTCAAATGTGTCAAACGCCTTTCCAACGCTGGTACGGGATACGTGCTTGGCTCGAACTCAGACTGGTTCCCTCACGGCACTGGTGCTTGCGTAGTTGCAATTCTGGCTGGGATTGGTCACAGGCTACTCAGCAAGAGAACCAGGGCATTCTGATTACATTTAATTCTGCCTTTCAATTTCAAATCAAAACTATATTGTACTCCTTTAGGTACAAAATGAGACAGCAAAAATACAATGTGCTTTAAAAACCTGTCCCACAGAACCACAGGATTTTGATGTGTAAAGATTTTAAAGCTGCCCAAAACATTTAGGAAGAAAAAACCCAACAGAACAGTCTCTTTATGAAAATCTTTTAATTTTTATTACTTTCCAGCGGTCATTTTCTCATGTGTATGTTTTAATTCTAAACCAGCTATACAATTTGCCCTATAGATTTCTTCCCTGTAGGAAAAAAAAAAAAAAGTCAAGGAAAAATCTTGGGAAAGAAAAGCTCGAAAAGGTACCATCATTCTAAATAGGCTGTGTTGTTATTGCTTAATTAAGAGAATGAAATGCTCAGGGTTGGAGCAACGAAGGCTGGGAATTTACACGTGGCGTTTCCCTTCTGGTTTTGTTCTTTCTGCAGAAGACATGCCCCCTTGCGGGGAGAGGTTCAGGCCCATAAACTACCGGTCTCTCCCTTGACAGGTTTGGGTATCGGGCAAAAGAAACAGTTGTCACAAACCAGCTTTTTGCTTCTGAATGTCTGACTTTTCAGTCCCTCCTTAGATGCGTGATGCTTGGCGTACCTCGCATAGGTCTCTTCTGTGGGTTGTGGGGAGGATGAAGCAAAGCAGCAAGCCACAAGACTCCTGAAGAGATGATACTAAACGCTTAACACAGTAAGAACAGTGTGGAACTGGTTTCTTCAGCTGTGTCAAATACATTAGTTTTAGCACCTTCATGAAACAGAGGAAAACTGCCCTAAAGAAAGCACTGCATAAAAGCGTGTTCGTGACAAGCATAAGAGGACACAATTCCCTGGATCTAAGTGAGCATCCTATGAACCAAAAGCATCGTCGCTGCAGGGATCTGTGCACTGAACTCCTCATTGGCAGGCTCTTAACGCTTGTCTAAGCTATGGTAACACTGAAATAGTTCTGAAAATATTTTCAGGCTCTTAAAAGCCTCTCTCTCCTTTTTTGTAATGTCCATTTGGCCATTACAAACACAATGTGGTTACCTATATGTTGTCCTTGCCTGTATTTTGAATGAATTTTGTTACTTATTAAACCTGGTCACTTCAAAATGCCAAAAATTTAAGTGATGTGGATCGTAAACATCCACTTACTGTTATTACCATGACAACAGATCTTCAAGTAACGTAACAACTCCACTGGAGTTATGAAAACTGAGGCTATCAAATTGCATTCAGTGTGAACACAGGGTGAGGAATACCAAACAATATGATACCTCGTGACTATTGAACACAGGGCTATAGTCTTCTTCCCCCCTTCAATACTGAAAGCGTATTAATTTTTGCGTACAAGAAACAAGCAAATGAACTGTCTCTCCAAAACAGGCAATAGGCTGGTGAAACAAACAAATGATCTTTCATTAGAAGTACAAGACAAAAACCAAGCACATTGAAGCAGAGAGTCTGGTAGAGTGACAGGAGGCTACTATGCTCTGCTATGTAAAGGAGGACAGAGAAAGGGCACCCAAAGTGCAACATAACAAGACAGGAAGGAAGATGGCAAGGAAAGAGAAGGGAGGAGGTCTGTGCTCACAATGCTTCTATACGAGATAGCAGCATAAGACATGACAAAATAAACACCATGTTTTCTAGAGTCACATAACATGCTCATCTCTCCTGCAGCAGGTTCCTTCTGTCTCAAAGTACAAGAACCCCGAGAGCCTTCATGACTTCAGGGAGAAGGGGTTATCCTACACTGGTTTGTTCCTTATACCTCAGTACACACCAAAGTCACTTTTCTTATCGCTACGGATACATCTGTCTGCTTTGTTGCTCTAGACATAAACAAACTGAAATTGGAGTATGCAGTAACCTGTCTTCTGGTGCTGACCCTTATGGCAGACTACAGGGATATTCTCTCCACTTTCACTTGTGTGGAATCTTCATCTGAATTCTCTTGAAATGAGAAACTACAGAGCACATCAAATAAAACTTGAAACATGAGCTAGCCAGCTTGAGACAATTAACATGCTTCTGACTTAGTGATTCCTATTTCCTTTCAGTTCCATGTAAGAGGATTCAGCACTTGAAATACCTGAGAACTGTAAAGCATTGCAATGTTCATCACTGTTGCAGTTGACCGACAAAATTAAAACTTTAAAGTCAGTTGTTGGAAGAGTTCTGCCCTCTGCTCTCTTCTTCAGGTGTTATATAACAAACTGTACACAAACTACATTAGCTTTGCGTCAGAAATAAATTTGGGTAGAATCTCAAGCCTTCCACTGAATCATCTCTGCAAAGATGGCCCATCTTTTCAGCAAGAAGCAGCCTGGAGAAAGCAAAAGAAGACGTGCTGTATTACGTGACAACATGATAACGAAGGTATTAAACACAGAAATTATTACTTACCTTTCTTTGGCTAAGAGAACAGACATCCCCACCAACTTAGCAAACTCATCAGCTGTGAGAGAACCTTTTTCAGATACCTGTCAAAAACCAAACACACACGTAAAAAAACTATGGCATTAAAAGGACAATGAAGTTCTCTCGGCTGCTGAATCAGGTCTAGCCCTGTGAAGTGATAAATTGGTAGCAAATCCTTTCTGAAGACAACTTGTTTGCTTGCATTTAAAAGAAAGTACAAATAATTATGAGTATTTCCCCTTAAATATACCTCTTCTGTGTCCTGAGAAAATTGCCAAGTACAAAAACCGAACAGGAACGTACAAAAGAGTTAAATCCATGGAGGAGGGAAAGGAAAAAAAAAAAAAAAAAATTCACACTGTGCCCTTTCCTTCAGATTTTTTTTTAAAAAAAAAAAAAAAAAAAAAAAAAAAAAAAAAATCACACTGTGCCCTTTCCTTCAGATTTTTTTTAAAAGATGCCTTGGGACAAAGTGAGGAGAAAAATTAGAATAGCTCAGACAGCAGTATACTGTCACAATCAGTATTTACACAGCCCAGCTACACCAAGTGAAGCCTAAATGAGGAAATAAGAGACCTGTTCAGGGCAGGTCATCAATTTAGAAAATTAAGTCATCTCAGATGGAAGTGGAGAATTTGAGTTTAATGGGATTTAAAATATCCCCACTGCCTACAGACAAATCCCCAAACCTTAGTACACCACCCTGTATTATGGCGTACTAGAGGAATCAGTAAAAGCCACCACCATATTCAGTTGACAAAAGAGATAGGTTTGGTCTTGGGACTCAAAACTTCAGCTCCACTGTCTCAGCCATGCTAGTTAATACACACTAAAATGAAACCTTCTCACACAGGTTGGACATGTGAATGCTTAAAATATTAGATATGAAGTCCAGACTTATTACTGCGTTGAATTTCCCAGATAAACATGTTATTACCCTACAAATTAATAATTTTTCCATTTCTCCATTGCTTCAGATTCAAGCAAACTTGTAAATTCAGATGTAGTTGCCATTTCCTGCTTCCCACATAACTGGGTGGGGAGGGGTCTATTCTGCATCATTCTCAGCAGTAGCCTTTTTACAGAAACTCAGATTAAATTAGTCCTAACTTGAGATTTTTATGATTAGCTTCATCCAAGTAATGGAAGTTAGCTATACAATCTAATATGCAGATGAGTGATTAATTATCTTTCCTTCCCAAACTACTACTCTCATCAAGAGTGACTTTGGGTTCCTTTGACTTCCGTGTCATTTCCTGTCTTCACCAGCAGTTCAAAACTACATCTTTCTCCTGTCTGAAAACCTGTGACTTCCTTTCACTTCTTCTCAGAAATTCCATATTACTGTACATTATACATTGTACAGGGAGCTTTTGGCCACAAGTCTGATCTCATCTTCCTTTTCCCTTATGGGCTAGCCTTCCTTATTCAAAGCCTCTCCCTTACATTTTTCTATGGAGTCAAAGTCTCTTCTTACGAAAATAAAAGAAAAAAGGCACTTCAGTAATAAATCCACCATCTGTTGCTTTTTGCAGTTGACCTCTTTTGTTATCAAGAAAAGGTTTTTCCTTTCCTTTCAAAGAGATAAGCACTCTTACTGAAGGCAACAAATTAATTAGAAACCCAAAATAATCAGGAAAAAAACCTAAAAGGGACTAGGGATTTTTCTGTAAATATAAGAAAATAAACTGAAAGGATTAACATATATTGAAAGATGTGAACATTTTAGTTTTGATAATTTAGGGCGGAATCTTTTAGATGGCTATATACATTTCTCTTACCTAAAAATCTTTTTGATGAGAGAAAGCTATGTGGTAACAATCATGCAAAACGCACTAAAGAGTCTACCTCATGTATCAAGTGAGAAGGTGTCTGTGATGGCTCCACTTTTTCTTGACTGCCCAAGTCAAAGTCCTCTTTGACTTTGATATTTAACTTTGAATACACTGAATTAGCCTTTACTCAGCTTTATGAAAAACAAAAAAATTACACCCCACTGAAACAGGAAAATTTTCCTGACACAGGAAAATGCATCAAATAATGGGATGGCAGGTAAAGAGTCCAGAGGTAGCAAGAACACAAAGGTTTACCACACTGAGAAATTTACACTACTTTTTTTCCCCGATGAAGGCAGCTTAATTCTATACGCACTACTCTCCAACTGAGCACTCTTCACAGCAGCAAACGCAGCACAAGATGTTACACGTACAATGTGCTATTTTATGAAGTAAACATAAACCAAACAACTGCCTATATCAACATTTAAGAGCTACTTTCACTGCCTTCAAGCACATTGTGTACAGTGTCTGAAATCCACTTCTGTTAAATTGTTTAATACATACCATGAATTTCATCCTGCAGCGCGGAAGATTTAGAGGAAGGTTGAAGGTTAATGAAGTTTGAAAAGAGATGGAAAAGTGATTTATTCCTAAAGGATACAGCAATGACTAAGATCATTGCCTGTGCAGCACTTTGAAGATAGATGAAAAGTGCTATTTAAGTATTACTGTTAGAAGATTTGGGAGTGGAATATTTTGTATTTCAAAACCTCAGAAGGAAATCCTGTACCTCAAGTTTTTACACCTAATGTGTTTAAATTTCCCCAGCACGGCCATTACACTGAAGGAAATACAGTACACTTACTGTCTCTAAAGCAGAAGCTACCATTTCCTCTTCATTATGAGACTGGAGTTCAATCACCATCACACCACTGTCAAATATCCGAAGCCTAAAATGAAGAAAGACGGTCAAATTGAAAAAAAAAAACCCCTCTGTAAAATGAACTTAACATTAAAAGCATCTTCAAAATCTGAATCGACTAAGAGCAGGGTGTATGTCTGGGCTTAGTTAAACTCTTTTCCCAGTCTGAAAAAAATGTATTGGGAGTGAAAAGAACATTGTCTCCCTAGCAAAGTGAACACGGTTAAAAATTCATATTTTCATGTAGAGTGGATGTTGGTGCATACAGCGGCATCCTTTAAGCAAAGGATGACTTTGTTAAAAACAAAAATAATCTACTGCAGGTAAATATTAAGTCATCCAAGCACCACGGTCTGACTTGCGAGTGCTGTGTTTTATAAATCCAGCTGTAAAGCTCTTACCTTAGTGGTAATTTCAGTGACTCCAGCATCTTACACGCATTTACTAAATCTTCTGGTGACAGCAACTATTAGAAATAGTAAAACATATTTATTCACAGCTTGCATTTCAAGTATATAGCATAACACCAAAACAAACATTTTTAATAACTACAACTATAAAATACACCAGGCTATACAATATTGTTAATTTTATTCCCTTCTGTTGTGCAGTCTATTTTCTTGGCTTCTGTGCTTTCTGTTCCTTTACTATGTGTTCTCTAATAATCCTTCTTGCCCTGTTTACAGAAAGAATCAATGTATTTTGTAAAAAAAAAAAAAAAACCAACCAAAAAAAACCAAAAACCAAAACCCAAACAATGAGGGTAGAGAAACACTGGAATGGGTTGCCCAGAGAGGTAGTGGAGGCCCCATCCCTGGAAACATTCAAGGCCAGGTTGGATGGGGCTCTGAGCAACCTGATCCAGCTAGCGGTCCCTGCTCACTGCAGGGGGGTTGGACTAGGCGACCTCTAGGGGTCCCTTCCAACCCCAAACATTCTACGATTGTATGATTCTAAAAAAAACCCCACACCCAAAAAATAAACATTCACCATTCTTTAGTATTCTCTGTCCTTTCAATTCTCTTTCCAGGTAAGGATGGATTTTCCGTTTTATATGCTATTATAAAAAACAGCATGTGTTATGACAACTTATAGAGGATACATAAACATTACATGGAAGAAGGAGAAAGGAAAAAGGTAAAACCCCCTCATTTTAATAAAGAGCTGATCACTTCATGCTGTTAAGACAGGTAGGGTGAGCGACTGGTAGGGAATATTTTTAACCTTTTTCTTTAATTACCTTAGTAATGTACCTTAGTACATTTTATAAAATATTTAGTAAAACCAATTTCTCACCTCTAATCCTCTTGCACGATTTACCAGACAGTACACTTCTGTAAGTGACATGATCCCTCCTCGCTCCTGTGTTAAGCACAAGACTGGTAAGAGAAATAGCATTAATCTAGTAAACACAGTATCTCAACCTGCATTTGACTGATTAAACAGGTAAAACAGAGGAGCTAAATGATGGGCCTTAATAAAAAAAAAACCCTACCCAGGCAATACCACGTATTTCTAGCATGAGAGGTAAGTTGTTACATTATATCTTTCTTTAATAATTTTAAAATGCAAGACACTCATACTACATCCAAAGACTGTGAATTACATCAAAATTCAGCAACGCACAGAAAATGCTGGTGCAAAATTAGGTACTTTACCTCTAATGGTGTCTGCAGTATTCCAGCTAGTTGCTTCGCCAGTTGCATGTGGTAATGTGTACCAGATCCATATGTTTCCCTAGTAACTGGATTAGCTATACCCATACTCAGTAGATATGACTTGAACCTAATAGTCTAAACAAACAAACAAATTTAAAAGTACATCAGCTAGTGAATGATTCTGGTTTTTAAAAGGTCTTTGATTTTACTGCTAAAGACAGTTTTGGTGAAAAAATCCATTCAGTTTACTACCAATAAAATCAATTACTATCGAAGAAAAGACAAGACAATACAATTTATTTCTGACCATCAGAGGTCAGAAATGCAAAAATTTACAAAAAGGCAGTAAAATCTTTGCTTTTAAGAAAGGGTAGAAATAGAAGGTAACACTAAAAAGTCAGTCACTTATTTTATGTAGAATTAAAACACAAAAATCCCAACCACAGAGTGTTTTTTATTAACATTACATCTATTAAACGGATAGCTTTTTGTTTTGCATAGGAACATTTCTGTTGACTTTAAAAACAAAATTCATTTACCTCATCCTCAGTGATGTCACCTTGTTTTTCTTTAATCTTATTAGCTATTGACTTGGATAACTCCACCATTTCTTTAGCCTATCAAGAAAGGCAGATAGAAAGTCAATTTTCAGCTCAACAGAGAAAAGCATGCTTGAAACTGAGAAAACAAGCATAAATCTATAAGTGTACACACACACATATATATATATATATGTGACACATGCCATACCTTCTCCATTAGTTTGCTAAGATCCTCAAAAGCCTGAAATGAAAAGCAGACACTGCAGATTAGTATAATTACAGCATTCAGCTTCACGGATACCGTGAGCTGCCTTTGTCTGCCTATCCAAGCTATTCTTAAGAGCTGCCATCCATTTAGATCACAATGTTACAATGTGAGATATTATGTATAATCGGTTGATATATCTGTTTCATACCAGGTCTTAAAATCAAAATTACACAATCCATACAAAGAAGGAAGAAAAGAATCAATCACACACTTTGCTAGTATGTGAACACTAGTTCAATATGATTTATGAAGTCCCTATGATAGGAAGGAACAATGAGATACTGAGGCCCAGAAAAGATTAAACGATCCAAGTTTATTATGCTCTCCTAAAAGCCAGGGGAAGGTTTCTTGGTGGGGATGGTAGGTTTTCTTCCAACAGTTAACCGTCACTCAAGGAGAATCATTGTTTCTGGCCAGCAGTAAGCCAGCTGTAAAACTACAGAAGTACTCCTGCTGACAAGGCAATTTAATCAGTAGATGTTAGTAAGAAACAGTCATTTCAAATAAGCAAGGAAGAGGGTATATGCTTTCACATGTATGCTTAACTGAAGAGACAAACCCTCTGAAAATGTCTGGTAACATCTCTTCATTTAACTACCGCATACATAGGAACAGCGGTGCTACCATAATAAACAAAAAATAATTTAAAAAAATGAATAAAATAAGGTCCACAAGACAAATTATCAAGTTTAAATAAAGATAAAAACTAGATAAGAAGCATCCTCTGAAAACTAGTTGTTCGACCTAAAAACCAAAATATCTGCTAGAGCAAGGGAAAAAACTATTTGTACAAACCATTTCTTTTCTAGTCTAAGAAACATTTTGTTTCCATCAGAAAAAATAAAGTAATAAACTGGACATCCATCATAGGGCCATAATTATATCAAGTCTATTAAGCTCAGTAAACTGCTATGGTCTCAAATACAACAATTCTACAATAACCCAAAAAGGGCATTCATAGGCTTAAATAAAACATACGCTAAAAAAAGCTGAAGGTATACTGAAATTCAAAAGTTTTAATAATGATAACCAGCTAGCATTTAAAAATTCAGGTAAAAAAAAAAAATGGTTAGCAACTATATTAAAAAACAACTCTCATTTCTCCCATCCTCAGCAACACACATTCAGCCTTCTCACCTGTTTCAAAGACATGGCAATGTGCCCAGGTGGTCAACCTTTTCAAACAACTTTTTTTGAATAACTGGTGAGAAAAATTCCTGAACCTTTTCAGCTAAAGCTTGTCTGACAGCAGCACCCAACCCCTCCAGCCACGAGTAAAGAAGGTTGTTCACTTACAGTATGCAAATGACCAGAGATACACCTTGCCTACAGCTTCTAGCCATTGCTTCTATGTGATTCCTAGCTTATTCTGACTAACTCCCCACTAGAAAAGACACATTTTAGCAGAATTTGCACAGGAAGACCCAACTGTTCCCATCTACATTTAGGCACCTTACTCAGAAGGTTATTCAACATGCAAAGAAGAGAAAGAGGTGCCTTCAGGAAGGGACAGGGTTTGCTTTTCATCTGAATCCCTCGTGCCAGTGTTTCTCCACGGACTAGAGAAGTCTAGCCTCTTAACCCTTGGTACCTAAGTTAGGTATCCACAATTCAGTGGGACAAAGCTCCGTCCAAGGGGAGAAAAGAAAATATACCACCATATAACAATAATCTACCTCTATCAGAACAAAAGCTTCCCTGTGGAATATTTCTCCTTACTTCCTAATCTGCCAGATTCAATAATTTACAATAGATTTCCCAATCTCTAGCGTAAATCAAAGTCCTTCTACTGTACTTGTATATATCAACAAAAAGTTTTCTAACAAGGCTTTTCCCAGCTTATTTCTAATCTCTGTAACCTGCATGAAAAGATCATTCATTAAATGAACCCTTGATTTAGCTAAATAAACAGCATGCTGTCTCTAACTCCTCCTCTGCCTGACTCACCGAGGGCAGGCCTGGAAACAAAGGGGAATGTGCACACACCTAACAGGAACTTCCTCAGATAAACAAAAGGCTAAAGAACTGGATTCTTATCAGCAGCGAACAGCAGATGCAGGAAGCCTTTTCCTGGAAGCCAGGGCACCATTTTTTAAATTAAGTCATTTATAACATTAAAAGCTGGAGGAAGGCAGGATTTTAGAAGTCATGGTTTTCCTCCGTTCCTACAACACATATAAATGGATTTCTTTTACTCTCTGACAAAGCTACTAAAGGAAAAAATAACCAGACAATACCTCTTGAACTATACACACATGCATGTAACCACAATACCTTTTGAACTACACACAGAACTTCATTCATCACGTTCCTCATAAACAGAAAGGAAAAAGTTTAATGCTACCGGTACCTGAAACAGCATGCGGCCTGCAAAAGTACTGTAATTTTCTTATGTATCAGAGCAGTGAACGCATTTTTTATTGTGGCACACTGACTCTCATAAAGCTTTGCCACAAGAACAAATCTGTTGTATGTAGTTTATGAGTACTTCTGTATTAATCTCTACTACCAAGGCAGAACCAGACTATTGCGCCTAGGTTTATATGAAGAAATTAATTTCCTCTGTAGACCGTCAGTACTGATATCTGGACTTCAACTATTGTGCTGCTTCTGGGGAAAAGGATGGTCTTCATCTGGCCTGGGTATTTCACAGATACTTGTAACATCTTGCAGAATGTTTTACTGTAATTGTAAGCCTAAATCTAATATTTGAAAACTGTGTATGTGTAAGATGAAAACCTAACTTCACTAGTTATGTGCAGACACTTACATCAGTGTATTCTTCTAATGTATATTAAATTTTTCAACTGAAACCAAAATTAGCTGTAAAAAAAAAAAAGGGGGGGGGAAAAACCACCAAACTTGTAATAGTCTCTTTCTGCAGATGCCTTTGTGTTCTGCTTGCCCTGATGAAAAGTCACTGAATTCAGATTTCTAGTTCTACCAAAATTAATTTTATAAATACACACCGTTAGTTTCAAAGAACAGTCTTCTTGAAAGGAACTGTTAAAATGAAGTACCTTTACAAATACTGAAAAGCCAATTAACCAACGTAAATAACTAAATTATACACTCTTAATCAATTCAGACTTCTCAATAAAAAAGATAAATAGTCTCAGCTGCCCCTAAAAGAAAGTGTGAATGAATGTAAATGGCTCAGACAGGTGGTTGACCTTGAAACTTCAGTAATACTTACCTCAGAAATGTTTTTGTCGGTTTCTTTTCTTTTTTCCTCTAGTTTCCTTTCGATCCCTACAATTCCTACAGCTCTTATTCTTCCTGCCTGCAAAAGAAAATAATTAAAGGAATCAAAATAGGAAATGCTGTTTTCTCATCCGCTTCACTGTGAAAAACCTTACATTAGAAGACAGGAAACATGCCCCCAAAGCGCATACAATATTTCATATATTTCTTGAAATTATTTTTTAAACCAGTGTAAAAAAATAAACAATAAGCATAAAGCATGTATGAATTTGTTGTAGTAGACAGATAATAAAATTATTATATTGAAGCTATTAATATGAAGATGCTTAATAGCCTGATCCAGACTGGGCATTCCAGCTCATCTCAATTCAAGCCTCCTAAGTCCATGTGTACATCTATACTAGAGCTGTGGAAATGCGTGAGTGTATCTAAACATGATTACCTGGAGAAATCTACCCTGAAGAAACATAGCCACAGAAACACAATGCTAAGTGCAGTCTAATTTACCTAGCTGAACAGTATCAGAATGGAGGTGATGGTGAAGCTTTCCTTTGATGCCAGGTGTATTTTAGAACCAAATGGCAGTGGTGCCAGCCCTCAAATCTCTGACTGCAAAGCTTAGCACTGGTGTTAATGATTTGCTGTGACTGAAGAATAAGAATAGGAGGCAAGGCATTTCTTGACACAGGATGCAGGCTTCCCCATTAGTCCAAATGCAACTATGTTTGTAGGTACTACATTTACAAAGGAAGACATGTGATTTGACCCTGAACAGCCTTTGGATCGTCCTGATCTAGTTAGCGGTGTCCCTGCTCCTGCATGGGGGTTGGACTATATGACCTCTAGGGGTCCCTTCCAACCCAAAACATTCTATGATTCTATTTCATTCATATAGTATTGTATGTTCAATATATTCATATATTCAAAATATTCACATACAGAAACAACATCTACATGTTTATCAGAGTTTATAACCTAGAAGTATGCAGACAAAGGCAAGCAATCTAACATACGACAAAGAGACGCTCCGTAACAACTGCCCATTTAGAGTACACATTTAAATCAAACAGATAGAGGTTCCAAAGAGTTATATAAAAGTTACGTTATATATTTGACTTCTAGCCACAAAACCCCAAAAAGTCACAATCAAGTCACAATCAAGTCACAATCAAGTCACAATCAAGTCACAATCAAGTCCAAAAATCTTTCAGCTTAATTAGATCTCACATGCTGAATAAAATTATATGCAAATATATATAAAATATTTGCATAATTGTATGTGTGTGTCTGACTAAATTTTAAAAAAAAACAGAGCTCATTATCAACTACTCAAGTCTAAATACACTCAAGGAAGAGAGGCCACAGTGATCTATACCAGGCAAAAACTGCAAAGAAGAAACAAATTTACATCAGTAAAGAAACAGGCAAAGTAAAGCTGAATTCCCACACGGTCCCACGGTGTTGGTTAGAGGTATGCCAGATGCAGTACACAGGGGCAGCAAGAAGTGGAAACAAAGGATTATATACAGATTCTGCTCAGAAGCTCTCCACATACCTGTGGACCCTTGTTAACTTGAACGGTCTGACCAGTAGGCATGTTCTCCCATCTCCTTTGTGTGATTTCTTCTGATAATCGTCTATAGAACTGCAAACATTAAAGAGTGACAACAGACATTTCATAAACTGTGCAGAGTACCTCTGGGTATTTTTACCGTCTTGGTGGTAGACGAAATAAATTTTACTGTAAGACGACGCATGGTAACACCTACACATCCACAGTACAACATCCATTATCTGGAAATTCTTGATGTCCAATCTTCAAAAACATACACATTAGAAAAGGAGTTGATAGTTAAACTCGCTTGAGTACTTCTATTGTAAAATACTTTTTTCAGGTATTCAGAATGTTCCAAAACATGCTAAAGTTAAAAATGTCGAGGTTTGCTCGAAGGCATGCTTTTAAAAAGAAGGAAAGTTGAACAATCCAATTACTATTGATCTGTTAATTCAACAACATAAAGGCAACCACACAGATCAATTACACTTATTTATTGCTAAGTACCAGAAGGTGGCATTAGTTAAGTACTTAACAGTAAGCGTACCCCACTGACCAAAATCCAGAAAATTCTTATGGTTGTTCAAAGTTCACAGGAAAGCATTCTGAACTCATGAAGAAAAGATCTGGAGCGTAACTGATATGCTAGATAACCAGTAACCACAGTGAGTTTGATTTTCAGACAAAAACATTAAAATACATAAGGTTATAATTAGGCAAAACACCTTTACAATTATGACTAGGCATAAACCTACACTCATCCTAAGCTGAAAACTGCTCACAAAGAAATGAAAGTGAGTCTGATCAAGCACATGCATTTGTAAGACATTTATAACTAATTCAAGTTGAAAATGTGATTTTCTGCAGAGAGCAGGTATGGCTTTTTTCATTGTTCAAAGGTAAAGTTCTCAGTCTCTTCAAGTGAGGATCTTATACTGTGAAATTTCTTTACAGAGCGCAATTTCTTTGTTTTTTAGAATAAGCCTTCTTTAAAGAAAAGATATTACTTTTTTTAGAATGCTCCAAGCTTTTGAGATTTGGTGTGTGTAATAAGCCTTCTTTAAAGAAAAGATATTACTTTTTTAGAATGCTCAAAGCTTTTGAGATTTGGTGTGTGAAAAAAAAATAAAGATTTATAAAACATAAAATGAAATAAAGCTCTGAGGCAACAAGAAGTGTTCAGCAATAAAATTAGAGAGGTGATTAGGAGTAAGTTGCTTGATTCCTGTTCAGTAGAGGGCTAGCTACAAAGAAACATCTTTTACTCTGTTAAACATGTAACAAATTTCAGAGACATAATTTTGGAAAATCAGAGACTCACAGAGTCATACAATCGTTTAGGTTGGAAAAGACCTTTAAGATCATCAAGTCCAACCGTAAATCCTGTCTTCCATTTAAAAGATTTATAAGAGGAAGTATAAGATTATATTAAAACTACTAAAATAAGGACAAAGCCTAATAATGCCTCTTGACATTTTTGGAACTCTATTTCCATTATTTAACCAAAGTATAGAACCCTGAAGGCTCATAGTGTTTTCCTACAAAAAGGATGTATTGAAAAAGCCCAACCTCAAAAGTAAACATGGAAAAGATCATGGAAAATTATCAACAATGCAGCAAAAGGAGAAAAGCGTGTCCAAAGATCTGATGTACTGGGTTTGCATGGCACAAAACTTACCTCAATCTGCCCGTGTTCTTTGAAAGAAAGTTTGATGTAGGAATATTTGCTGCTCTGGAATGGACCAGGCTCTTTGTTTGAAGCAGCAGGATGAAGATGAACTACTATTTTGGCACTAAGAAAAAGTTAAAGGAAAAAGAAGAGGCAGCTTTCTGTAGTATCTAAAAAAATTATTTCTACAATCAAAGTTATCCATGCAATCAAAACCTCTATTAACTTTATCTCACATAAAAGTTAAAGTACATCAAACAATGCTTTACATTTGTGCATCAACATTAAATATTTTGACTCAGTATTATAGTAGATCTTGCATAAAACCTACTGTAACAGCAACATCTCACAAATTTAAAATCTACCCACCACCAATTCTTAAGAAATAAACAGAACAAATTTTAACTTTTCAAGGAATAATTTCTGAAAAATCTTTTAGTTAAGATAAAAACTAATTGTCAAGTGATCATTGGATTTGGCTTTTGACTTGCAGTAACTACGGCCAAAATACACTATCTTTGTCACAGGAAAACAAAAGGTCTCAATATTATGTTTAATCTACCACACTTGCATATGTCACTTGCAAACACTGTAAGTGAATTTGTCCAAAACCAACATTCAAAGGTAACATGCATGGAAATAACAGTCTAAAATGACACCTACCACCAAAACAAACCTTGAGATAGCATTATTTTAGGAACATAACAGACTGCTATCACAGTATGACAAGTCCGCCATTCCCATCTCTTTTCACTGATACTTTTTTCATGGGTCTTTATTTACTTGACTTCTCCAGCACTGGTGAATTACCTGGTTTCTTCTGGATACCCCTCAGCATATTACATTACCCACCTGACTGTGGGCTGCAAGCAGATGTCGACTACGTATATATTTCTCCAGTTAATATTTTTTTCCTCTTTTTCTTGTGAAACTTCTTTATACGCATACCATACTGAATTAGTTATTTAGGTGAGTGGAAACGCTTGAGTTCCTAGTAATCATTGCAGGCATTTCCAAGCTCAAAATCAATCATATGGTCATGAAAAGTTATATAATACGGGATCTGGCAGAGTTTCTATCCTCAACCAGTTCTGTAGCACAAAAGACTAAAATTAGCTTTCAAATTGAGATCCAGCAAAATCACTGTTGTCATTTATGACTCATCAAATGAAAATGGCAAGCTAGAACACGTACTTGTTTAGTGATTACAAGACAGTTATTTAACGAATCACGACAAACACTGCTTTGTCATGACCCTCTTACACATTTGATCTCAAGTGAGGAAAGCAGGTCCTTGTAGCTGTCAATCTGGAAAACTGGATTGCAAATAGAACCCACCATGGATTAATACATAATCTTGAGTACCTCATATAACGTGTGTGGGCAAGCTATCCACCTGAAAAAGACAATGACTATCACCTTACCTTTTTCCTATCCCAGCTGCCTGCTCTTCAATAAAGACAACCTGAGACAGAGGTATAGCAATGCAGCACTCCTGGAATAATCAATGCAAACACAAGAGAAATTAAAAACATATCCTGACTATGCATTCTCTAAAACCAAGTGTTCTCTTTTGCCATTTCACAAACAGTACGATTTCTACAGGTGCTGTTTGAGGCACTCCATATGAAATACGATGGTAACAATAGAAACAATCTATTAAAGAGAAATGTAAGTAGAAAACATAATACAAAGTTGAAACTGAGTTCTAGATAATTAAAAAAACAAACTTAAGTGTCAATGTGTTGACCCGGGACACCTCAAGCTAGATACGTAGGAGGACTCGGGAATTTAATAAATCTTTAGCATCTAAGTTCAAAATTTAAACACTAAAATTTCCACACTGCTGCAGCTTATCCCTGCAGGTGCACAATACTCATAGGTTCTTAACATTTTTGCATTAATGTTACTTTGAGAGCTAAAACAATATCCAAAAGCACCAGCCTCTTAAGTGTTGAATGTCTAAAAAAACTAGACTATCCTCTGAGTGGAATAGGAATTTCTCCATCTATTCCACACCTAAGGACTTAATCCAGTAGTTGATGCATCTCAACACACATTTATTGGACTGGGCTTTAGACAAAAGAAAGCAGAGCAAGAAAAAAAGACTGTACCCATGAGTGGGAGACTAATGCACCCAGACTAAACTCTTTCTATACACATTTGAGAGAAAAATTGCTCAAGGAAGCAATTCAAAGCATCTAATTAGGTGCCTGGCCTTGTTTTGTTGAGTGTCCTTTGGTGAATGTTGTCTTCCACACAATAGCTTGGTGATCGACAGTGTCACCCAAAATACAGGAAACACAGGTTACATTCCCTCTTTGAACCTCCCTTCCATCTGCCATAAGTGTGTGCCTAATGCCAGGTTACAATGAACACTATTATGGGGCCTTCTCAATTCCTGCTACCAAAATTGTTCCTCTTTGCATGAAATGATTAAATACTTATTAAATTGGAGATTAGGGAATTATACATGCAGGAACTCTGACTAATGAGTAAATCTCTCACTTGGAAAAAACATGGGTTGTACTTCCTGTTCTAAAGTCTCTTAATACAAATTATTTAGATTATTCTGTGGGTTCAGATTCTACAGCTGTTATATAAAACAGGTTATTGTTTGTAAAATGCCCACATAGCTCTGGACACTTTAAATATAGGCAAAATGATACTTCTGTAAAAAAAAGAAAGTTTTTGAAAATTACAAAAACGTCCAACTATATATAGTATGTACACTGTCAATATGATTAATTCATTTAGTTCACGTTAAGTTATGAACTAATTGTAAGCACAAGGACTTAAAATCACCCCTTCCTGGCAAGAGAAGCAAGAGGGAGGGATACAAAAAGAGAGATGTGTTAAAAATGCTGTGAGTTTATTTGGATTTTTTTTTTCCCCTAATGTTTCATGCTCACATTATGCATGATTTTATGATTTAAAACATTGTACAAATCTAGCAAAATAATTACTTTTTTTTTCCTTTGGAAACCACTGTATTTTCTATAGTGTTCAACTGCAGATGGTATGTAACAACAGCAGCTATAAAACACAGCTGTTTTTGTAAAAAGGTCTGATATGTTAACCTAATGACAAGTGCCCCATTTATTACTAAAGTTTGCTGACACAATAAAAGGGGACTCTCTCTGCAAGTTTAGTCTAGGTAAGCTAGCTAAGGTTTCTAAGGCTGATGTTATATCACAGTTAAGCTTGGCCAACAACTCACCATGAAAATAAAAGGGCATTTTGCTCCTTGCATCTCAATCTTAAGAGCTTCATTTACTGCATAACAAAGTTATTTGTATACCATAGATTTAAAAACAAACCTGGCTTTGCTGAGACAGAAGCGGTCTGTATTAGATCAGAACTTGGTAATTTTTGCCCATCTCCTGCCTATAGGTTTCTGCCCCTTCTCTTAACCAAGACTAGAGCTTGTCAGAATCTTTGTTGAGTTGAATTAATTTGTTAAAAGAAAACTATTCTTCTTGTTCTCCGTTTCTTCTCTGCTGATTTAGCAAATTCAATGTACTTGACGCAAGGAATTCATGTAGCCTAGGAGCAGGGGAAGTGAGGGACAAGAGATGAATGTAATCCTTTTGTTGGGAAGGAAGAGAATGGGGATATGGACAGTTGTTAGGCTTGCTGAAGCCATGAGACTTAATGTTACTCCAAGCAAGTAAAATGTCCAAGTGAGAAGAGGAGCAGGGGATGTTGCAGTACATGCCCACCTGTCAAGAAGAGATGCTGATGAAGAAATTATGAAGATGAATTACACAAATAGTTTAGCACAACTAAATTATCTCATGCTGACTGTGCCAAAAAAAAAGTTAATTTATACAGAATAGTTCATGATCTAGACAATCGACCCCTGACTTCTTTAACAGTAACCCCACCCTGGGGACAAGCTCTCAAAACATTTTGAAAAATTCGTACTAAAAATAATTCTGCTGTTCCTGCAAACAATCCCTAATGAAAAAATATATTGCCTTGCCAAATTAAGAACATTCTTGGTGACCTTACTTTTAGAAGGCTCTTAGTAGCTCCCTGCTTTGGAGCAAGGATGTGATATTTGGTAGGGAATGACCTTTGGGTGCAAGAGGTGCTTCAGCTACCCTTGTGCAAAACCAGTCCAGTGGAATATAATATGCCTTTGAAGAGCTGTCATCTGAACATGCTCTGTCTTTGGCTTCCAGGGCTAAATTTTTAAAAGATTGTGTCCAAACCAAGCATAATCCAACCTGGTTCTGAGGAGGACTTCCCCTTCAGTTGCAGCTGCAAAGTGGTGCATGTTGTCACAGTCTGTGCTTAGAGCTTTGTACGTGTTTGTAGTCTTTCTCACCCATTCCTAACCTGCAATCTTGGGCTGCGGCTTGCTGATACAAAGCTTTCAGCAGCAGCATTATTACACAGTAGTTCTGCCACTGCCACTTAACCTCTGAGTTAATTCTCCATAGCAGCACTGACAAGTGTTCAGGCTTATTAAGGGATGGTTCAGCACAAGAACAGGCAGCTGGGAGGGTAAGACACGTACAAAATAACACTGCTACCAAACACATCCCATTATCCAATCCTGGTCTGGGACTATATGCTGGGAGCAGAAGACAGGGAAACTGGGACTTGAAAACAATGAGGAAGAAAAGGTCTCGCTAGACAAGGAGCACAGGAGAGATGTTCACATTATGATTTGCCTGATACATTCAACTTCTGCCTCAAACCAATGCTTTTTAGTGTATGACACCAGACTCGTTTCTCCTCTATTTTTGTGCCATAGAAAATTCGGGTGATTCATCCCCATCCCTCCTCATCTCTGCATGATTATTTTATTTAAGCAGAATTGGGTGAAAGAACATTCCTGTACATAATTTTCTTTCCATGCCTGACACATTCATCTTCAGTCTCAAACCAATGGTTTTAGTGCATGATATCAGACTCTTTTCTCTTCTATTTTTGTGCTGTAGAAAAGGAAAATTTGTATGATTCATTCCCATCCCTCCTCATCTCTGCATAATTATTTTAGTAAAGCAGAATTGGGTGAAAGAACATTACTGTACGTAATTTTCTTTCCACTGTGAGCCAAAAAATAGACTGTAATTGTAAAACAAAACACATACAAAGGGAAGAAAAATCTCCTCTGTGTGTGCAGTCTCTTAATTGCAAGCTACCTGGTGTTTATTATGGAATTTATAATTTAATGACATAAAAGAGACAAAAGTGGGACTTACATGATTCTTCTGATCCCTCCAGATTAGTCTGTGTGTGCTAAGCAGCAATACTCCACTATCAAATTTTACCTAAATGGGAAAAATAAAACAGATCAACAACATATTTAACCAGTAAATTGCATAAATACTGATCTTGGAAATATTACAAATTACCACAACATAGCAATCAGATTCAAGAAGCCAGTATTTTGAGTACACTCTCTTTTTTTCAGAAAACACAATAAATGAAGTTTAGGAAACAATGGAGAAAGTTAGCATAAAAGGATTAGATGGATATACACAAACTTCCTTTTTCAACTGTATAAACTTTCCCCCAGGAAATCCTGAATGATCCTCCCTCCATATGCTGTGCAAGATATACAAGCATTCCTAAATATCGTATTTTAAACAGGGCTATTGGCTTTGGCACACTATCTGCTGACAAAGAAAGTAAAAGCTATGCAAAAAAGCAGAGCAACCTAATAAGAAGATGCTATGCACAGTCTGAAATCTGCCGGCCCATCACACAGAAGGATTGCTTCTATCCATTTTATTATTGAAAAGTTCTTTATCAGACAGCCATCAGTATTTGGAAAAATCTCTGTTAGCGAATTCCTACTTGTAAAACTGGAGGCATGTTTTTACAGCTTTTTATGAGGGTATGCACCTACTCTGGTGAGCAAAAATGAGGAGAAACCAAGAGTTATTCCAGCTGCAATGCAGAACAGCTATTGAGTAGTCTTAAATGAGAGCAGAGGGCAAGAGAGCACCCTTCACGTCCAGAGCTAAAGAGCATTTTAGAGCTACCGGGATGACTCAGGTGTGAACTGCATGGCATGCCCTGTGCATGGCATCAAATCCGAAGAGCGCAGCTTGCTGTGGCGAGCAGCTTAGCCCCTGACAGAGGAAGTGACGGCCTAAACAGCGGACACCGAGTTTCACAACGGTGACAGCAGCTACACACGCCCTACGGGGACGCCAGCCCTCCCACCGCCCAGGCCTTTCTCCCACAACGCCTGGGTCTCCTCCCTAACAATCCTCTCACAAAGCCCAACCCCGCCAGGCCCCGGAGCACTGCGTCCGCGGCCTCCCACACCTCCGACCGATGCTCCTTTGGCAGCCCAGACCTCTTCACCGCCCTCGTCTCGCCCTCCCCCTCCAGCCA